AATTAAATTAATCGTCATCAAAGTTGATGATTCACACCAATAAAAAAGTTGTAATTTTTTTATATTTGATGTATTTTCATGTTTTTAAAATGTGTGTTTAAATGCTTTAATATTGTTCATAAGACTTCAGTATCTCTTTAAATATTTAATCATTGAGTAAGGAAAAAAAGTGTCCATTCAATATTATTAATGATCGAAGCATCATCATGAAACCATTATTCTGCATTCTTGTTTAAGCTAAAAGGATCACTTTTTCAGGGCCAACGTTCAATACATTTGCCAATTTTTAACACATTTTAAAAAAATATTTCTTTTTTTAACTGAGAGATGCTAATAAGACAAATGGAATTGCTCTCTAGACTTCATGCGGTGTTCTCCTATCAACGGCAAAACTCACAATTGCTCTTGAATTTTAGAGATGTATTTTTGAACGCATCTGTTTTATATATTTGTCAGTTCAAATTGTTGAAACACTCTTATTTTGTTAAAATTTAGTTCAGAGATGCATCTCAGTATCAATATTAAGGTGAGTTCGAATATGCATCTCTGTAAAAATTCTTAATTCAAAATTCAGTGATGTTTTTGGAGATAAATCTCCATACACGTTTGTTTCATATACTCACATCAGACCATTTCCTCTTCCTCCTTCATTTTCTACAAACACTAAAAAAACCTCATTTGATCTCTTTTATTGCAAAGTCATTTACAAACCTCACTTGATCAAGTTTCTACAAGATTATTCAAGTTCACTCACTCCATTCTACTTCATTTGTTGCAAAGTCACTCACTGCATTCAAGCTTCTCGTCCACAACTCTAATTTGGTAAACTTCTCATTTTATTTCTTTTTTGAGTTTTTGATGTTTTAGATAACATGGATTGTTTAAGATGCATTAGATAGTAGTACATTCCAAATAGGTAGTTGGTATAGACATGCATTCCTATTTGGTTGGAGCTTAGTGCATCAATGGGGTTTCTTCCATTATTGAGAATCGTGGATTCATTCAGAGATGCATCTATGGATTTTCTATGTACTATTTTCAGAAATGTATCTTTGAAATTGTCGTGGTTGTATTTTGATTGCATTTTGATGTGATTTTTTGGTTTTATTACAGGTGCAATGGCTGAAAACAACCAAGACAAACTTAGGCTCGGTAATGTGTTATAACACGCGTCTATAAGACGTGAGAGGGCCAGGGGCCGGGCCACGAATTGATGTTAACTCGTTAGTGGTTCACAAGGTTGAGGTTCACAACCATCTAGTTTTAGTTCCCGTAGTCTCCTGTCTCAGGCATATACTTGTGAAGCCCCTGAAGCCTATGAGGCAAATCAGGAAAAACTCGTTGCTGATGTGGATGCCCCTGTAGATAGTTGTCTAGGAGGCCATTAGACACCTCCTTATTTCATCTCTATAGAGATCATGCTACTAGGCATGTCTGAGAGTGAGTGGTATATTTATTTACTTTTGCATTACATATGTTTTAAACTAATTTAATTGTGATTGATGGTGATATATTTTTTTAGAGGAACGTCCATGTTTAAAATACATAAACTACGGAAAGAAGATTTTGAATTTGGAACAACCCGATGATGACTGGTTCGAGAATGTTATCTGCTACTCTAGACTTGTTGATTTATGTGTTATTGTGTACACTACCATAAATCATGCCATGCATGCGGCATTTGCAAAGATATGGCATTCAGAGATGTCATCTTTCCACCTTCTTATTAGAGAGATGACCATCATCCTAGATGACATCTCATGCCTCCTACATATTTCCATCAGGGAAAAATTAATGGACTACTCAAGGATCAGTCGAGAGGAAGCCATCTAGATGCTGGTTACATATTTAGGAGCTTAACCAACTGGTGCGCCAAATGAGGTAGTTGACACAAGAGGTGTTCATGTTAGATTTAAAGTTTTGAAAGAACTTTATAAAGAGCACCTGCAGATGGATGTGGATGCCAATGGTGATGATTTTCAAGTTGAGACGATAGTGTGCATTGAGGTGTTACCTTTTGTTCCTGGTTGGCACGTTCATGTTTGTGGACAAAAGGCAAATCTACGTCGATGTGGTCTACCTTAAATACTTCATCGACTTGAAAGTGATTCACGAGTATAACTGGAGACGCCTGTTTGGTTTACTTGTCCCCGAAGTTGGGCGATGATTGTATTTGAAAGATAAAGCAGATGACAGGAAACTTCACGCTCCTTACGATAATTTATTGTTACTAATATTCTCATAACTCTTTTGTTACACTTTTTATTAATATTTTATCTGAACCATTTTTAGGGAAGGGTCATCTCTCATTTTCCTCATATATCTGGGTGTGAATATGTGTCTGACTACACTGAAGATTTGCCACATGTTTGCACCTTTGTCCCACTCAGAGGGAATTAAGCGATCGAGCTCTTTCATATATGTCTTGACTATCATGTAGCAGCTGACATTTCCTTCTGCCCATACGGGGGTCACCACCAGACGCGTCAGCTGGACATTATTTTTTTATACTCTGGATAGTTGGCTTATGGGTCAGTATGATGTATTTGTATCTTCTCGAGCGAGTGATGCGCCAGCTTGGGTATTTACACTTTATTTCAAGACACCCTTCAGAGTATGTTTTTCCCACCATCTGCCACAGAGATATTTATGCCATACTTGAGGATTTCGAGCATCATTTGGTACTAGGGGACAATCACAAGGTGTCATCTCTTATACATTGGGCTTATGTAGACAGCTACATGACATGGTTCTACAGGGTGTCACATATTATCATGACACTAGACACACTTGGAAGACCACCTAGGCCTTCTAATCAGAAGGTACTATAGAATATGGGTGACCACACCCAAGACGTACGCAGCGTCTATCGATATATTGTGGATATGGTGAGATCGGGCATAGAGGCTGGATTTTTTGAGGTAGACAGTCCTCATTTGACCCTCGTAGAAGGCATTATTGTCGAGGCCCGTAATGTTTTGCAGTACCTGCGCACAAACCGTGGGTTAGACATACACAGTAGTTTAGATTTGTTTTTTTTTTTTTTGCATTTTCAGACAAATGTTATGTATGCCTTTTTTTTAATGTGTAGTATGTTTGAATTAATTAATGTATGCGTTTTCTAATTTACAACCTAAAATAACTTTAAATATAAGTTGGCGTTAAAAAAATGTCAAAGTTAAAACAATGTTACTATCTAGGATATTCGAGGATTTTCGAAAATACATCTCTAGAATATCCCCAAAAAAATGTTAAACTACTTTTAAAACAAAATCTGCGCATTTGATTGACAGAAATAATTTTAAATGATTTAATTTATAAAAAAATTAATTAAAAATGAGTTAAGCATTATATATATATATATATATATATATATATATATATATATATATATATATATATATATATATATATATATATATATATATATATATATATATATATATATATATATATATATATATATATATATATATATATATATATATATATATATATATATATATATATATATATATATATATATATATATATATATATATATATATATATATATATATATATATATATATATATATGTAAAAATAACTTTAATGTAAAAATCACAATTTGAAACAAAAGCAAATAAAAATTAATTTTGAAATATTTGATTGGCCCATAATAAAATTACTACTGCCTTTCGGTTTAAAAATATTTAGAGGGATAATGAACCCTTTATGTTTTTTAGCCACTACGGAAAATTATTTAAATGTTTTTAGTTTTCGAAGATACATATTCGGACACATCAAATTCTGAATAAACATTGAAATATTTCGGAGATGCATAACAATTTAAAGCATTCAATACATCCCACTCATAATTCATTATACACTTGAATGCATCTCCATGAGTATTCCAGAGATACATCTTCGTAACGCATCAGAATTTGGTTTTTCATGTTATATTTTATTTATTTGAGTTCAAATGAAGATTTAAACTATATCATACAATCGAAAATAAAATAAAAAAATCTACGTACATAATTTCAGATAGTCCAAAAATGTCATACATAAATAAAATATCAATAAATATCAAAAATGTCATACAATCGAGATCAATACAATAGCAAGACTGTCAAAATAAAATACAGACCATAGTATTACTACTATATACTAAAACACTATTGTGTGTGTCTAGCTACCTCTCTTCTACCTCTTATGTCTCCTCTGCCTCATCTACCTCCTCAGCCATCAATCCCACATGTCCTCCGACAATGTATTTGGTATAATAATTCTCTTTGTTCCTCCGACATGATGGCATCTAGGACCTGCCTCACATCAGACCCATCAGGAAAGATACTCTTGTCACTGTCTGCCTGCGCAATCTCCACTATGTGACAATCCCTAAGCAAGACATCATCAGCATGATCTAGTTGTGCTTGCTCCTCCTCTACTATATCCATATGAGTTGGTCTCTGCGGATCTCATGGAGTAGCAAGCATCATGTACGGATTTGACACCCTGAAGAACCATCTGATGTACCCTTCGACGTAGCTCCAATCGCTCTTAACTATGGTAGCTCATGCCTCCTCTAGTTCCAGATGAATCTCATGATCATCAATGACTATTTGCCATAATTTGTTTATTATGAATAAACTCAAAATGTACTTCGTGTAAGCATTGAGAGGCTTAAAAAATTTCTTATTATACTATTAAAATTAAAAATACATTAAATACAAATATTATATTCTGATTTTTTATAAAAACAGTCAAATAAAGTGAGATTTTTATTTTTCTCACATTCCATTCTCATCCATCCAAAGTCACAGGAAAACCTTAGCTCTCATCTCTTAAAATAATGAATGGGGATATGAAGATTGTGTTCTATTCTAGTCTCTTTAACCAACGTTAGTATTCATAAAAAAAAGATTGCATAAAACTGATTAACAATGAATTTGAAGGCAAAAATCCCCCCACATTGTTTTAACACATGTAGTGGGGACAGGAAGAGTATATATCAATCTATCTACTTCTCTTCTTCCCTTTTCCTAGTTGTCCAGATTTAAAAGCATGTTCTTGCTCTTGAAGGAAAGCTTTAGCCCTTCCATACTTCTCAGCTCTTGCTTTCTCTTGTAAAGACCTTTCTTTTTCCTTCACCTCAAGTAAGACGTAGTTGCTTTTACGTAATTCACGAACATCCCCTTTACATTCCCGCTTCCACAGTCTCTTCAATTTTTTCAATTCAGCATCATAATCTACACCCTTGATATGGCTGCAGAACAAGATGACATTAATTTCAATTACCTTTATGATAAGGAAACATATTACCAAAATGACACACAGGAAAAGGAAGGACTTACTTCTCCTCAAACTTGGGATTCAGTAATCTGATTGGAACTGGCTTTTGTTTCCGCATTTTAAGTGGTCGCCTCAAAGCATGATGTTCATCTGCTTTCAATTTAATCAGCTCAGCCACATCTTTAACTTTGTCTCGTAACACAATTGGCATATTTTTCTGTTCGGCAATCTCAAGTAATAATTTCAAAATTGGTAGAAATATCTCCGGGAATGAATTCAAATCTTTGTAGGCATTGATATATCCTTGTATAGTTTCAACAACAGTAACTAATACACTAGCCCTGCAATTAAAAAAATCATAATTAGCTAAGATAAAGATACAGAAACCATATGTAGTACTTGAAAGGATATCATCAATCAATGCTCTGAAGATAGGCCCTCGCAATATTAGCCGCATCCAGTATAAATTCTGAGATCATACCTATGAATAGCTCTTGATGGTACAACTTGAGGAACAATACTTTGCACCCTTCTAATTTTTGTTCAAATACAAAGATTGACTACAACAAATCATTGTGATAACACTTTTCTTTAATGAAAGTTGATAACAAATTAGTTTACCTGAAATCATCAGTAGTGAAGAAAGGAGAGTCTTCCGGCATGTCTATTAACTTAAAGAAATTCAGAGCATTAATCTTGTCTACTGACTCATTTATGCGCACTAGAGGCTTGAGATCTTTTAGTTCCATAAGATGATATAACTGGAAGAAAACAAACAATATTAGTATATATCGATACAAAAACTAGGATAAAGATTTACTCAAGTGATAACATTCACATATCAATTTTAAACACAAGACCATGAAAAGAATCTTCTGTGAACTTAAAGGTAGAGAGGGAGTAAAAGCAAAGAAATAGTGTATCAATAATACAAAGGAAAATGCATAACTTATCTACAAAATTTATGATTCGATCAGAAGTCCATATCATTAAGAATATGCTCATAGAACATTATGATAGTGTTCCACAAGATTTAGGCATGCCCCAATAGAGTATAAAAAATTATTGACATTTTCCACAAAGCAACACCAACTTGTTTGATATTTAGCATTTCTTCAAAACAAAATTCCAAAAAGCTAACTCTATTAAACATTCTGAATTCTTTTGCCAGTTAAGCCTTGCACACCCTACCTCTGCTCCTCTCTTTCTGCAATTAGTTTCTCCTCAACAAATATGTGTTATGCCAGAATCAAACTTACGCACAAATGTGAATTAAGTAAGCAGATTAAAAGGGATATATCTTTCCCACATTAGATGATGCACATTTCCTCACTATTTGCTTCAAAAAACAATTCTTTTTTCTACCGGATGTTTTTATTTTATAGTTAGTACACTAGAGAAAACACAGGAAAGAGATAAAAGGGACATCAGTAGAAATTGTGCACAAGGAAAGGAGAGTATGTCTAGCTGAAAAGATTAAACAACAATGAATAGCACTAGCATTAAGGAACTTAGATTTCTGTGAAAGAGCTGAAATTTCAATTCTATTCTATTAAAATAAGTGTATAAACTGTTCATAATTAGTACACCCGCCAAAATATGATTTGAATTGCAAATGATCCATGGAGAAATCATACCTGAGAATCTTCACATGAGATATGTTTACTTTCAGTTGTTGCCAGGAGCAAAGTTTGAATAAATATTATTGCTTCGGGACAGAATTTTTTAGACTGTTTAAATACCTGTATTTTATTTTCATGGTGTGAGCAAGTTGTTGGTGCAATAAATGAAAGACAGGGAAAGTTGAGGTTCAGCAATATTAAGAATGCAGAGAGTCCAAATACTATATTCATTTGTGGAAATAAATCATACAGAAAGATTTACATCAAGAATTAGTAAGATGCCACTATTTCATGATAGATCTCAGACATAGTTTCATCATATCTATGTTGATTATCATACAATAAAGTAACTTGCCACATGAGGTACTTACAGAAAGAAGCATAGAGCATAAGAAAGAGCCAATGGCAATATCCCGGCCAGATGTTATTGGGCAACGCATCAGATATTCACACATCAATAGTACCACCGGAGTCATAACTGGATGTCTAAAATCGGAACATGGAAATATCATCGACCACAATCGAAAGAGACATAGCGTCTTTGAAGAAGGCCAACTGCAATTTTCTGTGATAGAAGAAAAGTTTTAGATCAGGTGATGCTTAAACGTCTTAACAATTCATAATTGATAAAAATTAAGGCAGAGGCAGCAAATATTCAAGCTAATTTCATTCTGACCTGCGTTCTTTATACTCTCAACAAATTGCTTTCTAGTGGTTTCTATTCTGCGACGAGCACATATTGCAGCAAAGTATGGGATTTCCATACTTATCTCTATCAATGGTTTTACCAGCATATTAACCAAATCAACATTCAATGGTTTCTTATTTGTCAAAACAGCAAAATACTGCAATAATACTCCATAAAATACCTGAAAAGAAAAGAATGGTTATAAATACACTCATATAACTAGAAACAATAATCTAAAAAGAACAAAGCTATGTTTCATTCATGATATTAATATAGTTAATATGTAAGCTAGGTTTCATTCAAAGAACAAAGCTTGATACCAAGAAGACCCTATATTTACACAGATGAAGGAAGCAATTTTAGAAATTGCATTGCAATATAGCATTTTTAGTAATTGAGAGTCCAAGGGATTACACTTCTCGTATAAAACAATAAGTGGATTCAGTAAGCATGAATACAAGCACAAATGAAATTTGAATCAAAACAAAGTAGTTAATATAAAGGTAAGTTTCTTACTTGCACTTTCTTTCGATTTTCTGCAGCAAGTATGATTGCATTGCTTTTCCGGATCCGATTGATGATTAAAATAATGTCAGAATTTGAACGTTTATCCACCAGTGAACATAATTCTTCAAAGGTCTTTGGAGCTTCAATTATATAAGGAATCTCTAACTCTTTCGACATCTTCTCTCCAACAACTATCTTCTTAGCATCCGAAGCATCATCATCTCCCTTTACACTTTCAACAGAATCATTTCTCTTTGCTTTTTTATGAATCCTAGAGTTTAATCCTTTTATCTCATCAAGTTCTTCTGCGGCTCTTTCTTCGTCCTCATCATCTTCATCCTCTGAACCTGCACTGATATCATCATCATCACTCTGTTCCCAATCTTTCAAAGTAATATCCTTTTTGTGATCGTCTCCTGTTCCTTCATCAGGATCTTCAGAGCTTTCTGAATCATCAGAATCTTCCTCACCATCATCATCTTCACCAGAAGAATCTTCATCATCTTTTCTCTCAAGAATCAAATCAATCAAACCCTTTTTAGTTATAGTTTCTTCATCAACAGAGAAAGAATCACCAAGGTCATCACCAGAGACAGATCGTTGTTTCTGTTCTGATGGCTTTTCTGAATCTTCATCATCTTCTTCACTTGAATCTTCAGCAGCAGTCATTCTCTTCTGCCGTAGTTCCTGAAATTATGATTTAAAGGATTAATTATGAATGGTAAAAATTAGAGTGTACATGATTTTACCCGCGTGTGCAGAAATCCCATTTTCATAACTATCAACCATAAACCACAAAGTTACAAGGCAGCAACCTTAATAGTTATGAAAGTGCAAAAGTTTACTCGCCTTCTATATTAGCATAATATAGTACATTAAAATGTAAACACCAAATCTCCATTACCCGAGGTAGTTCTGAGTTCATCCCAAATCATACACTTTGACCATAACAAGTAACCTAAACCATCTTAAAAGGTAGCTCGGATATACAACCAAGATTTAACGTCAGCTAATGTGTAATAATGACTGAAAATGCCAAGAGAAATTTATTCATTGTATAATAACAAACTTACAGCTAAAAGCCAGGTCATATCATACCTCCAACTCCTCTAGACGTTCTCTTTCCTCCTGAGCAATCTCCTCTGGTGTCTTCAGTCTATCTGAAGGGCGAGCACAAATTTCAAATCCCATTTGTCTGACAAGTTGGTCATATTCATCTGGCTTTTCCTGCCATAAAGAGAAAGTTGGAATATAGGATGTTCTTATAGTAAGTTATTAGGGCAAGAAGAACCCTCAAGGATAAATAATGGTACCTTTACAGATTTATCCATTGTTGGTGTAGCAGACAAGCTATCTTTATCACTTTTTTCATTTGATTTACTATTGTTCACCAGAGCGTTCAAAGCTTTCCTCTTGTTTGGTTCAGTTAGAGACAACAAGGCCTCTGAATGAGCAAGAGAAGTGAAGTTCTTGTCTAATTCATCCACCAGGTCGCAATCTTCTTCCTTATCTTTTGCTTTTTGAGCCTGGAAAATATTAATTAGTGTGAAAGAAAATAAAGTGAACAAATTGCAGAAGAAAAAATAAATTAACAAAGCCCTGATTAAAGAACTTTTGCACACCTTGTAAAACTTGCTTTTCGCGATAATTTCATTCATCACTTCCTTCTTGGTTTTACGTCTCTGGAGGAAAGGTCACCAATCAGAAACAACTTCAAAGCATTTTAAATATTAAATAAAGTGACATTTGTGAAAAGTCTATCAAGGATTTGATATCAAGACTCCCAATCACTGAAACAGAAATAACTCGTAGATTACACAACGCATTCATGGGGTGCATGACACTTCCCTACAATCCCAGTAATAGAAAGAATAAAATAGTTAGGAATACAACATTGATAGCATACGAGGCCTTACATTTTCCCCACCATCTGCTCCATCAGTTTCCCCTGGACTCTGCATACCATGAGCATTAAGATGCTGACCCAAATCGGATCTTTCTGCAAAATCAATGGTCAACATAACTTATAACACAAAAGTAACAAAACAAGCACATTAAGAAAACTTTAAGATAGATCAAAATAGTTGGCAGCTAGAATAAACAGTGCAAACATCGTAAAAACATCATTAGCAGACAGAAGGAGTGCTTATGCAAGAATTCAATCCCAAAAACTTCACAAATAACTAAATTCAGCAGAGCCCAAAACAATACACATCAACGTAATTATCATCAAATCATCGTGCATCCAGCATCGAACACCTCCTTTTGTATTCGGTAAACAGAAACTAATACGAATGCTACTTACTATATGTTTCATCATTATCATCTTCATCAAGCATATCATCCTCATAGTCATCCCCTCCAAGAGTATCAATTCCTTCAAACCCATCATCATCTTCTCCATCTGACAAGTTATACTTGCTTTTCTTACTTAACTTCAAATTCAACTACGATTTCAGCAACCAAAAGCCAATAATCAATTCACAAAAATTTCAAAACAAAAATAATATCAAAGAAACAAACACTAAACAGCAATGGCAAACAAAGTAGTACCTGGCGTTCTCGCTGCGATCTCATAATAGCTTTTCCAAAATCATCAATTGTTTCGTCATTCTCGCCGATTCGCTTATCAACAAACTGTGAAGATTTGGTACTCTGCTCATACTCCTTAAGAAGCGTCTTCTTCCTCTTCTCAATAGCAGTGGAACGAGCCAACCCCGTCCGTTTGGTTTCTCCTTTACGCTTTTGGCCTAATATGTCGAACTTCTTACGCGTCCAGATAGACTCGAAAGGGTTGACGTTCGCCTTAGGAGCCTTTGCTTTCATCGCCACACCTTCGGGACCCGTCTTGTTCATCTTCTTCTTCTTCGTGTTCTTGTTGTTGCTGCTGCTGCTGCTTCCGTTGGCGACGCTGCGTTTTGATGATTTCGCCATTGATGAGTTTGCTTCGGAGCAGCACGGGTGTGGGTTTAGGGTTTATCGGTTAAACTTTTTCTCTATTTGCCTACGGTTTAGGTTAGGAGAATGAGATTCACTGCACACGGAAAAATGATGCAGTCATGCTGTCCAATAAAATAGCCATACGATCAAATCAACGGTGTAGATCCTCGCTGGATGTGGCTTTGTTTGCAAGGCTGGCTGATTCGATTATAATTAGGTTTATTGCATAAAAACCATACACAAGAGTATGATGTAATCCATATCTACTTTTATTTAATACTAGATATTTTACAACATTGTATAAATAAATCAATATGTATGAAAAAATTGCAAACAAATTTATAATTGAATATATTTTTATCTAAAATTTAGATGGTATATAAAGTATAATATTTTAAGTCACATAATTATTGATAAATAAGTAAATAAATAACTATTAAATATTACAAAAGACTTTTTTATAAACGATATTTTTAATTTTAGTTGTACTTTGACCTTCGTCATTCTTTAATAATATCATTAATCATTTTTTTAAAGTAACTCTTAATAGTATTATATATAGTTGTCTATGAAAAAAATTGATTGGGGTAGGTATACTTTAACGGATTTAAGTGATTGACCATGACTTTTATTAATTTCACATGATTTCTCTTATCATAATATTTGCAACTTATATAATTTTTAATATAAAATATTATATTAGTGACTATATTATTTTGTTAATTAGATGTTTATGTTGACTATTTGAGTTTTATAATAATTTTATATAATATAGTATTATTTTATTATTAATCTCATAAATATTTTCTTCTATGAGGATAGCAATAAAAGTCTTTAAAAATAATATTGAAGATCAACTTTTCTCTCTTCTTTATTATATTGTTGTGATATTTAAATTTTTCTCTTGAAATCTACCATTGTGGAAGAGTTATTAGACATTATTGAGAAAGCACAATAATAAAAGTTATTACAAATTATTGTTCTTAAAAACCAATTTTATTGTTTTGCTCTCTCAACAATGTCTAATAGTTACTAATAATAAATTTTTTACAATCAAAATAAATGATTACTCATATATTAAAACGGATTTTTATTTTTATTATCTCTAATTAGTTTGTATTCAGAGGTAAATATGAAACATGTTGTTGTTAAAAACAACAGAGGACACCTTGAATTAAGATTATTAATTATTACTCACCAAAATATTTTTCACCTTACAAAGTCGAAGTAAAATAAAAACTGGATCAGAGTTATGGGTGTCCATATATTAATGCATTCTTTCAGCAAATTCTTTCGATAAACTGCAATGGATTCTAGTGCTTCTGAAATATCAAAAGCAATTAAAAACTAATTATTTAAGACAGGTTAGTGTCAGAAATATAGTTTCTCTTTTTCTTAACTCAAGTATCATCTAAATTGATGGCAGACAAAACAATAAATAAAATTGGTTGAAGTAATTTATTATTTGATAATTGTTTGCATAAGTAATTTACTATTTGATAATTGTTTGCATTTTAATTGGTGGGATAATGGGTGGGATTAGGATAAATATCTTCTTTTATGAGAACATTAATAGAAGACTAAAAAAATAAAATTGAAGATCTATTTTTCTATCTTTTTTATTATATTGTTGTGATATTTAAATTTTCTCTTAAAATAACCGTGGTAGAAGAGTTATTATAGATTATTGAGAAAACACAATAATATAAGTTAGAGAAATGCTAACGAATGCTTTAAAGGTATTGGTTAAGAGATTAAAATAGTAAGTTGACATTATTTAAGAGATTGAAAATACATTTTTTTCTAAATAGATGTGTATTCAATGCTCTGAAAAGAAAAATAATCAGACTTTTTAAAGAATATTGTGTGTATTAAGTGAACTAAATATAACATATTTTCCTTATTTGAAATTCTTAACTAGTGTCCTGAGGGCACTGGTTAGCCTGACCTATAAGTTATTATAAATTATCTTCAAAAATCAATTTTTATTATTGTGTTATCTCAATGATGTCTAATAATTAATGATAATAAATTTCTTACAATCAAAATAAACGATTCCTCATATATTAATACGAATTTCTATTTTTGTTATCTTTAACTATTTTGTATTTAGAGATAAATATGGAACATGTTGTTAAAAACAGTAGACGACACCTTGAATTAAGATGATTAATTATTATTTACCAAAATATTTTTTTACCTTACAAAGTGAAGTATAATAACAAATGGATCAGATAAATTATGGGTGCCCACATATTAATGCATTCTTTCAGCAAATTCATTCGATAAAGTGCAATTGATTCTAGTGCTTCTGAAATATCAAAAGCAATTAAAAACTAATTATTTAAGACATGGTAGTGGCAGAAATGTAGTCTCTGTTTTTATTAACTCAATTATCATCTAAATTGATGGCAGACAAAACAAAAAAATAAAATTTGTTGAAGTAATTTATTATTTGATAATTGTTTGCATAAGTAATTTATTATTTGATAATTGTTTGCATTTTAATAGGTGAGATGGATGACAGATAAAACAATAAATAAAATTGGTTGAAGTAATTTATTATTTGATAATTGTTTGCATAAGTAGTTTATTATTCGATAATTGGTTGCATTTTAATGGGTGGGATAATAGGTGGGATTAGCGTAAATTATGCAGTTTTGCATACATTACTACTTTTTATATAATAAAGATGTTCTGGTCTGGGCCCCCGCTTGAGGCGCCTCTCGAAGAGGAAGCCAACGACGAAGCTCTTCAGGAGGAGCTCGATCTAGTCGAGGAGATCCGGTCAGGAGCGGCCCTCCGCGAGGCCAGGTTAAAACAAAAAATAGCCCAACGCTACAACAGCAGAATCCTGAGGCGCGAATTCCAGATTGGTGATCTAGTCCTACGAAGAAACCAAAAGGACTCACACGAGGGCAAGCTCTCCGCAAATTGGGAAGGCCCCTATCGTGTGCGAGACAAAACGGAGCACGGGGCCTATTACCTCGAAAATTTCCACGGGGACCAACTAGCTCGACCATGGAACGTTGAAAATATACTACAGTTAAAATACTGCCCACGACGACAACCGTCGCGACTACAGGGGGGTGACATGGTACCATCACGCCTCCTCGCATCTCCCCGAGACCAACGAAATAGCAAGCCCTACCTTTGTGTGCACGGGTATAAGGCTCTGCTCGACGGAGATTCCCTCGACCGAGGCTCCCCGCCGTTGTACCAGAATAGGCAGAACACCTAGATCGCGATGGGACGTTCACGCCGCGAGGACTAAACTACCCCCACCACGACCAGGTAACGAAACCGGTCGACCGACCAGTTCTCCACGGCACAATTATTGTTGAGCTACTTCCCCCAGACATACCAAAAAGCATAATAAACTCGCATCTCAAACATACTAACTTACATTTCGAGCATACAACGTGCAAAAATAAAACAGGCATATCATCATGCAAAAACAGAACGAGCGCACACTTAAATAAAATTCCATCTTATAAAGTTGGACACCAGCCCAATAGTCAAGTTACAATATCAAATAAGGCGCGCAGGCCCAACAAAAACACTTAAACAAAAATAGCAAAACATTGGCGCGCAGGCCCAGAAACCACGAGCACGCAGGCCATCGGGGCAGAGTCATCGGCAGCTTCAGCGATAGGATCGACCACCCGTCTGTCCACCTCATGCTCGTCCATCGGGGCAGAGTCATCGACAGCTTCAGCGGTAGGATCGACCACCCATCCGTCGACGATCTGGTGGAAAGGCCCGATTCCATCCACGACCAGGCTGTCTGCAGGGTTAACCACATTGAGCTGGCCCACGGCACTGAAAAAGCCAATCCCGAACGCCTCCAAGCAATCACCCTCCAACTCCCGGATCTTCCTCATCAAATCCCCACGGGTGACCATGAGCTTGTCCTTGTTCGTCTCGTCGTCGGCAGGACGGAGAGATCCTTCCAACTCCCCCACGCGGGCCTTCAGCGCCTGCACCTCCGCCTCCGCAGCCTTCAGCTTCTCCTCAGCACTCTCCCCCCGTTTACGCTCTGCAGTTGTATCTTCATGGCTCTTCGCCAACTTCTCGGTCAGTTTATTCAGTCGCGACTGTGCGAAAGTAAGGTCACCCTGCAGCTTAGCTAGCTCGGTCGAGGAGAAGCTCTCGTCGCTCAAGACCAAATCTGTCGAGAACACCCGCATCATGGCCGCCAAATCCTCAGTCAAAACCTGCCTCTGAGCAGCCCGGTCTAAACCGAGGACCTTCCTGGCCTCCCCGACCGGTACAGCTGGCGACCGAGCACCGTGAAAGAAGCCAGGATGCTGGTAGCACGGCGGGATTAAGAAGCCCTCCTTAGCGAACCCTGCCGTCAAGTTGACGAGGCCCTCCGGTTGATGAACCTTGGCCCGCTTGGCAGCACCTTGAGACGACGGAGACTGGCTCCCCTAGGGTGACGAAGAGGAACCCCTGCCTCCCTGATCAGAAGCAGCTTACCCGACCACCTGGGCAACCCGCGTTTTACCGACTTTGACCGTGACCCTGGTCGAAGCCAACCTTTTCACCCTCTCCTCGGTAGTAGACATGCTCCCTGCAAAACAAAAGAAAGATGTCAGCAAAAGAATAAATATTTGAGAGGGCAGGGGAAGAGGGAGACGACCACCACCTAGGTAACTAAGGGCATCCTCCTCCGTCGAACACTCGAGCAAATCCTTCGTGTTGATCAGCCTCGGCTTCTGACAAACACGCCCCTTACTGTCGCGGATGTATCTACCATCGGGTGTCACGAGGTACGCCGGAGGTAGGCCGGCCACGAACCCAACTATCTTCTGATAATCGGCCAGGTCATCCTCGCCTAGGGTTCCTGCCCGCACGATATATTGATCAATGCCCCTCGCGAAGTGCTCCTTAGTCCACTCCAAGGGCACCTTCGGGATCAAGACTTCCTCCCGCTGCTCGTTCACCACTCGCTCCCCTCACCTATACAATGAGGAGCACGCCACGTGAGA